GCGAACGTGAGTCTCGTTGGGTTGATGCCAAGCAAGTCCCTCCGAGCTCATGGCGGCCGAGTCTGGAAACGCGTGGTTTTTTGTTGCCCACGTGTTGCGATTTCGTCGACTCGCTGCGCCAAGGTTTTGTTAGCTTTCTCTTGATCGTCAGCTTTCTTCTGGAATTTAACCATCATATCCTTCAGTTCGGCTAGGGCTGCTAAGATTGTCGGATCGGCTTGAGGATTCTGAGGGTTCAGAGCATTAGGGTTCCCTCCTCCGGCTGGCGGTATCTGACGATCGTCTTCGTTTACCATCCTCTCTGGTATTCGAGTCTCGCGTTCTTAGGGTAAGAGAATTCTAAAGTAATCCCCACAGACGGCGCCAAACTGTGGAAGTCGAAACTAACACAATCAAGATTTGTCTAGGGTTTTATTTTAGGGATACGATAATCGTGAATTCTCAAAGAACAACAGAAACGATTGATACCAAAGATGGTGTTCTTGATATTATTAATGAAAAGATGATTTTGATCGTACAAGAGTTTGATCGTAAAAGAAAAAGGTGTTTGTGCTGTGAGAGCTTTGCGTAGTGTAAATTCTAGAGCGATATTGCTTCCCCTTTCGTTTGAGCCTTGAGTCTCTTTATATAGGGATGATAAACCGCCTCCAGCGATATTCTTGGAAGATTTCCATTTATCTTGAAGTCGGCCAGAATATCGCGGATTAGGACAATTTCCTTATTCTTCGGAGTTTTCGGAAGATTTCCTGATTTAAGTTGATCCTTCGTGATTCTCCTTTATCATTTCCGGGTTTATCGGAAATGACCCTTCGGAAATGATGCCTTGTTTGGAAATGATACTTTGAAGATGAATATTTATCAAGTCTTTGCCTCGGGTGATGATGAAGACTTCGCCTCGGGTCACTCTGAAGACTTTGCCTCGGGTGACACTAAAGACTTCGCCTCGGGTGACTTTGCAGACTTCGCCTCGGGAACAATACACATTTCACCTCGGGTAGCACTGAGACTTTGCCTCGGGAACAATACACATTTCACCTCGGGTAGCACTGAGACTTTGCCTCGGGTAGCACTGAGCCTCGGGTAGCACTGAGACTTTGCCTCGGGGTAACTGCAGTATAAGGCTCGGCAGTGTACCCCGAGCTGACTGTGTACCCCGAGCTGACTGGCAGACTGACTGGCAAGGTACCCGAGCTGACTGGCAGACTGACTGGCAGACTGACTGGCAGGGTACCCGAGCTGACTGGCAGACTGACTGGCAGGGTACCCGAGCTGACTGGCAGACTGACTGGCAGGGTACCCGAGCTGACTGGCAGACTGACTGGCAGGGTACCCGAGCTGACTGGCAGACTGACTGGCAGGGTACCCGAGCTGACTGGCAGACTGTCTGGCAGGGTACCCGAGCTGACTGGCAGACTGACTGGCAGGGTACCCGAGCTGACTGGCAGACTGACTGGCAGGGTACCCGAGCTGACTGGCAGACTGACTGGCAGGGTACCCGAGCTGACTGGCAGACTGACTGGCAGGGTACCCGAGCTGACTGGCAGACTGACTGGCAAGGTACCCGAGCTGACTGGCAGACTGACTGGCAGGGTACCCGAGCTGACTGGCAGACTGACTGGCAGGGTACCCTAGCTGACTGGCAGACTGACTGGCAGGGTACCCGAGCTGACTGGCAGACTGACTGGCAGGGTACCCGAGCTGACTGGCAGACTGACTGGCAGGGTACCCGAGCTGACTGGCAGACTGACTGGCAGGATACCCGAGCTGACTGGCAGACTGACTGGCAGGGTACCCGAGCTGACTAGCAGGATAACCCGAGGTGTTGAAGTTTGGCTCGGTCTCAAAGGATGGGTGAAATCCGACCCCAACACGCTTATCATTTTGATTTTCTTTTCGTTTTTTTTTTTTTGGTAAGCGATTTTCTTTTCGTTTTTATTTAACTTTCTTTATGCTTCCCTAATTTTACTTTTGTAATTTAGTGAAAAGTCAGTAGCAAACAAATATTGTTAGAAGGGTTGGAGTAAGCAAAGAGAGCTTAAAAAGGTAACTGTGACAACTATCACATGCTTGTAGGACTATGAGCCTCGTGGACACCGTTATATTAGGGAACTAGATAACAACCCGCACGATGTGCGGGATAAAGTGATTCAAGTAAAATTATTATGATTAAAATTATTATCCGGGATCCAAGGTCCGTTTGTGTAAAACGAAACATGTTACAATTTTTTTTTTGTTTTATTCAAATTTGGGACTATTTCATATAAGAATAGGTTTTACCCGTAAAATATTTGAACCTTAAATAAAGCTTCAACATGATAAAAAAATATTGACGAAATGTTACCATTTATGGCAATATGTCTTAAGATTTTTTTTTTTTTTAATGTGTAAGAAATCCAAAATTTAGCAAAGATGAGATTTGATATTTTCCAAGCTAAGATTTTGTAGTGTTCCAAATCTAAGATTCTTAGATTATGAATGGATTATTTACGAAATAGTTATAATGTGGCCAAATTTTGGTTTATATACAAATGTGGTTATAATGTTTTTCTTCGAAATGTTAGAACTCTTCCAAAAAATAGGATTTTAAGTATTCGTAACATATATAGAAAGGAGATTATCTTATTTATTTAAGTAAAAAATTTATGAAAGATGTAAAGATTTTGTAGTTTTGAATTCGAAATTCTTGAACCAAATGTATATATTTTATTATTTAAATATAAACATAAATATAAATATAAATAAAAAGATTGTTTATCCATCCGCTAAAGAAAATTTATATAAATGTATATAAAGAAAAATATAAATATAAAAATATAGTAATATAAGATAAACAAAAAGTGTATGTTTTTAATTATTAATGGGATATATGGATGTATAAGACTAATGGCAAATTCTGTAAATAGTCTAATAAATCTTGGGTAATTATCTAAATATAAGCCAAATCATTGTGAAAGCAACACATCAGCGTGACAATCTTGTTAATAACACATGATGGTAAGATTTTTTTTTTTTAAATGTTTCTCTATTAATATATAGGGGATGAGTTAGGTCTCACCATTGAGTAGATTAGAGGAAGATTAAAAAAGTAAGTACAAAAATTACTCTGACTACCCTACTCTTTGTCCGGTCAAAAATGGAAAAGTCAGAAAAAAAGAAAGTTTTTTTCTGGAAACAATGTTTTATTTTTGGTTTTCATTAATATGGAGATATTTTTCTCTTCTTCTAACCATGCTCACCAATTAAATCCAACAAAATGAAGAAAATATTTTCTTTCATTATTAACTTTTCTTCCCCTTTTTTCATTCTACGTTACTTAAAACCAGTCGAACTTTTAAAGTCATAATTCTTGAAAGAAAAAAAAGGATATTGTGGACTAGCATTTTACACACATCGATGTCAAATGGTGGAATCCATTTAGGGAAAAGACTACTTTTATAAAAATTATAAGTTTTAAGAAAATAAAGATAAAACATATATTACCAACGTTGTGTTGGCCCAATGGTAAATCTTCTAGGTTGAGGTACTGGATTCGACGACTGTTGGGAGGGATCTCTTTCTTTTCTCCAAAAAGATAAATTTAATTTGGTGTGGGTCCCGCTTCTGAGAAATGTAGGCTTTTGGGTTTGAACTTCTAGATATTTAAAAAAAAAAAAGATAACGATGAAAGAAGAACATGAGATATAGCAATGATGTAGATGATTTTTTATTTCACTTGTAGTTGTGCATTACAAACAAACAAAAGAGGATTCGACAACATTTACTATGAGTTAATTAATATGATGCATAGTCATGGTGGGTGTGAATATAAAAGTCTGTAACAATGTATTTTTTTAATCAGAACGGGTAACAATTTGGGGTTAAGATCTTCGCCGGATGGAGAGTAACAAATCAAAATGAGAAAAGAAGATGTCAAAATGAATAATGTCAAAAGAACATGTCAAAAAGAACATGTCAAAAAGAACAAGTGAAAGGTAAAGTATTTTGAGTGTTTATAAGTGTTTTTTCTCTTTCTATAGAGTGATGTGGTGGTGGATTCAAACGAGATTTGTAACAAGAGTCCCGATGAATGATGCTCCGATATGTACATATAAGAAAGTACCTTACATGGTTTCGAATACTAGATACTAAAAAAATATGTGGTGGTGGTTTACATGTCAACTTCTTGTAGGAGCAACGTTGGAGTAGGATCAATATGCTAGACTTTCATTAGACACCACCACATTTGGGTGCTACTTTTGCCAACTGTATACACGCAAGATGTGCGTTTGTTGAGTTGCACGTTTCTCCCAATGAACTAATGCGGGAGAGACCATCTTTTAACGCTGATGCAGAAAACATTTTCTTCAGGTGCTCTCTAGTGTAACTCGCTTGCCATGTGTCCGCTTTTTGGGATAAAGGAGTTGATGGTTGCAGAAATTGTTAGCATAGTATGCTTGTGAATGTGTTTGTACTGTAGTATGATGTGTTTGAAATTGCAATCCTGCAAAGAGAGCTTGAAAGTTTTCTCCCTATGAGAAGAAGTCTTGAACCACACCTGGTGGTAACGAGAACGGGATCCTCTATAAAGTGAGAGGGAACCGTTGACCAATAGTCACACTAAGAAGTGTACATTTAAAGGACGGACTTGATAGATAGAAATTTAGAAATTTTATCCCTAACATGTTTTGTTAAATACTGATTTAAAAATTTAAATAATTTCCTAAAGTTAGAACTATTTTTCTTCTTAATCCGCCCTCTTTGATTAATTAGAAAATGAGGATGCCTCAGACAGATTATAACGTGGCAAATATATGTAAAGTGGGGGATGGGCATTAATGACTAGCAATGAGTCCGTTTGATTAGCTTGTTCATCCGTAAGTACATGTACAAGACGCATTACATTGGTAGTTACACGTCCACGAAGGTGAGTCTACCTCGATCCCCCGGAAGGTTCCTAGCTAATGATCATCTTCATCCATCTATTATATATATATATATATGTTGAGCTAGTGCTCATTATAGATCAATTAAAAAGAAGTGCTACATAAAGTCACATATCAAATAAGTTGCTTAATTTGAGAGCAATTATACAAATAAAATACCATTAAAAGGTACAAACACAACAAACAAACGAATAGGGTTATTATACCATATGACCTTAATATTGGTATTAGTGTTGCAAATGATTTAACGAATTCAATGAAATCAAACTTCATAGCCCTCCACAAGACTAATGTTCCGTGGCTCTACAAAGCCAAAACTATATGTAATCCATGTAACGAAATCTTTAGGGAAGTGCACTACTCGTGTTGGTAAGTAACAACATACCTCTTCTTCTTCTTCTTACTTCTTTCTTTCTACTTCTTCGCATTATCGGCTTCTTTCTTGCTCTCTTTGTTGTACTCTTCCATCTCATTAAGCCAGAGATCCGCAAACTCGCAATCCTTCCAAGCATCAAACCAAGGCCCTCCTCGAGTATAATGCACCGCTTTAGGCTGCGTGGTGGGATCCTTCTCAACAACCCTATTGTGCCCTTCAAGAAAGTTCCAAACAAAGGGAATAGACCCAATCTCTTCGTCCTCAAGCCACTGGAACCTATGGAGAAACGCACCAGTCTGAGTATTAACAATCTCAGGGCTCAAGGTCTTGTTCTTAGGATGTCCACAATTGTAAAGCACCATAGAAGACCAGTTCTTCCTCGGGTACACGGTTTGAACCGCACCATCCATCTTAGTAGTCTCCTTAGGAGTATAATCATGTTGAACACACATGATCGCGTACTTATCATCGATCAAATCAGTAAGTTCCTTGATATCAGCAAGGTAGAGGAAATCGCAGTCGACGAACATAGCCCAACCTTGGTAATCGGACAAATGAGGAGTCAAGAAACGAGAGAAAGAGAACTCAGTGCTCTCTAACTGACCTCTTTCTCTCCAATACAGACCTTTCTTTCGAAGATCTGATTGAACAATCGGTATGATCTCTACAGGGATTGAAGATCTTTTGGTGACTGAATGACGACAGACTTGGTAAGCAAGATCTTCGCGTGGATCGTAACCAACAAAGATCCTGAAAGGTTTCTTCTCAGAAGAACCATTGTTGCAGGTATCAGATTTGACATCTCCGTTGCTAATTGTCATTGTTGTTGCAGAATTCGGATCTGCCATTAATTTCATTGCAAAAGTTAAGATCTCATTTCGCTAAGCATTTTCTTAACAATCACAGAATCGTTACGAAGCAAAACCAAATCAAAAGGCGAATCTTCAGATGAATGAAGAAGCCATGGATTTCAAACTAAAACAGAGAAATTCGAGAACGAAATTGTTATGAGAAAGTATTTAGATCTATATCATCCCATTACGCTAAGCAATTTTGCAGAATCGTGATAAAGCGAAACCATGAAAAATGCGAATCTAGTAAGATAACAACGGGAATTGAGGCATTGATTAGAGTAAAAACAGAGAAATCGAGAACGAATCGGCAGGGAATGAGGAAGAACAGAGCGTACCTGGAGAAAATGATGAGAGCTTGGATCTTGACAAAAAGCTTGGAGCACCGACAGAAATGGAGATTTGTGGACTAAAATGTGGAAAAAAGGAGAAAGAGATTTGGAGCGAGAAAGGAGGAGAGGAGACTGACGACTCTCTTAATTTTAGAAATTAACTATTTTTATTAGAGGCTCGAGTTGACTCACGTGTTGACTCAGCGTCGGCGTGAGTTTTATGCGTTGCTTCTTTCCCTGCCCATGTGCTCGGGCCTCCTCTTCACGCTCTGTTTTTGCTTTTATTCGTTTTATTTTTCTTCGTTAAAATAGTATTCTTTTTACAAAATTCTTTCAGGTTTCAGTGAAATCACACAACAAAAAATTATTACCCCATCTTTTTAATAGTATTTTTGTGATTCTGTTTCTCTGTACAAAGCTTAAAAGAAGTATTTTAGAGGTAAAAAAAAACGAATACTCTAATTATTCTAAAAATATATGAGTTATTCTAGTTACTAATCTTTATTTTTAGATTATGATAATATTTATGTTATAAGAAAAATTAATTAATATTTTTCCCTATTATATGGTTTTATAGACCCTGTTCTAAAAATCGGCCGCCTAGCCGCCTAGGCGGCCGCCTAGGCGGCCGCCTAGGCGCTGATCGGAGGAGCACCGCGGCGATTTTGTCCAAATCGGTGAGAAAAATCGGAGATCCGATTTTTTGTCCGCCTAGACCGCCTAGGCGGCCGCCTAGCCCGCCTAGACGGCGCCTAGCCCAATTTTTTTTTTTTTACTTTTTTTTCATCTAAAATTCAAAACGTCCTACTTATGTTCGTAATTTGTATAAAAATCATAAATTTGAAATTAAAATCTTGTTTTCATGTGTTTAATACAATTTTAAAAACAATATTATATAAATTTCTTAATTATAATAGATTAATATGTTTTTAAAATATTAAATAGCCCTAAAACTAATCCCCGATTAATCCCCGTGTAATCCCCGATTTTCTTGCTAGGCGCTAGGCGCACCCTCACCGCCCGACTAGCGCCTAGCGATTTTTTGAACATGGCTTATAGATATGGACCCGTGCGTTGCACGGGTTACCAGTCGAAATTATCATTCTTAATTTTTTTTATTTTTTTTTTGTAAGGTTAACTAAAATTGTATAAACATATATGTTTAAATTTTATAAAATACAGCATTTTAATTATTTTTAAATATAAATCCCATATTTCTTCGTCTAACAGAGTCAAAGATGAGAAAAAATGGAGATGCTATTCACACGAAAGCTTGACAAGAAATTTGAAATGTATTAAGAATTAATTCTTTAGTATGATTCAAATTATGCTTGGGTAACATAAGTAATTTTAACATAAATAATCTAAGGTTCTTGAAGTAGATGTATAATAGTCGCTCAAAAAATATTTACATATCAGAATATAAAAAAATCTAACACTTGTAAGAAGTTAAACATAACTACAAACATAAAATAAAACAAAAAAATACAAAAATTGACGATGCGATATATTTCTTCTGTAAAAGTAAATATAAAGTTATTTATCAATGTATGAATATATAAAATAATAAAATAAAAACAACTAAAATATGAGCAAAAGTAAAATACAAAATCTGAAAAAACATTTAAATTTCTACAATAAATACTTATATTAAAACAAAATTAATTTACAAAAACTACTTGCGGCTTAAACCATTTGTTAAATTCACCTTCTGCATGTTGTTCTCTAAAACTTACTTGATGTCAAACAACTACTTCAAAATAATTTTTTTTTGTAAAACCCCGTAGCGTAGCGCGGATTTCGATCTAGTTAGAAATAAAAGAATTAATTCTTAATACATTTCTAATTTGATGGACGTAGATACTCTTTGGTGCCACTGGCGACGAGATGATTTGAGAAAGGAAAGATCTGGAATTTATGAGCCAAGATCTGGAATTTCTGAGCATAGATCCGACTTAGGGCTTGACTGATTCAAATGCAGCAGTTGTGGAAGTTTGCGGAAGCATACGATTGCGGTATCAAGTATTGTTTAGCGTTTTGACCGACTAGTTTATCCGTTGAAAACATGTGCGTTTGCGGAAGATTTACGACTGATTGATCAGCGGGTACGATAGCGGTTAAACCCAAATTTACCAAAATAAAAACACCAAAAACTATATTTCTGAAAAAGTATAAATTTTAAACATAATTAATAATGAAAAACCATAAATAATTACTAACTAATTATTCAAATATTAAAAAAAATAAAGTTTATAGTGAAACACAAATAATTAATAATATTGGAACATTAAAGTTAGATAATGATTTGAAAATATAATAAAGAGAAATTGTTAAAAAATGCCCTTTTTTCAATACCTCTTTTCAAAAATGCCCCTTTTGAGAGTTCATTTTTAAGTTTGTCCTATTTTAATTTTTAATGACCATTTTACCCTTATTTGAAACAAAATTAGGTCTACAAAATAAAAAAAAATTTTTGGCGGGAAAAGTGATCCCGCAATTTTCCCGCCAAAACACTTATAAAAACCTTTAAAATACCTTGTAAAATTTTCTCGTAAAATTTTTTCCCGCCAAAAATATTTTTTTGCGGGAAAAGTGATTCCGCAATTGTTTTGGCCGGAAAAATTTACAAGGTATTTTAAAGGTTTTACGGAGTATTTACAAGTGTTTTGTAAGGTTTTACAATGTATTTTAAAAGGTTTTACAAGGTACTTATAAGGTTTTATAAAGTATTTATAACTTGTAAAACCTTATAAAAAACTTGAAAAACCTTATAACTTGTAAAACCTTATAACTTGTAAAACCTTATAAAATAGCTTGTAAAATCTTATAATATCTTATAAATAAGTTATAAATACGTTGTAAAACCTTTTAAAATACATTGTAAAACCTTATAAATACCCTGTAAAAAACCTTTAAAATACCTTGTAAATTTTTCCCGCCAAAAATTTTCCCGCCAAAAGTTTAACGCCAAAAAAATTGCGGAATCACTTTTCCCGCAAAAAAAAATTTTTCGCGGGAAAATTTTTTGGGGGGAAAAAATTTTACAAGGTATTTTAAAGGATTTACAAGTTTTTACAAGTGTTTTGGCGGGAAAAATTGCGGGATCACCTTTTCCGCCAAAAAATATTTTGTATTTTGTAGACCTAATTTTGTTATATTTCCTTATATATTTGTGATATCTTTTATTAAAATAAGGGTAATTTAGTCATTTGTACATAAAAGGGGTATTTTTAAAAATTGACAGCCAAAGAGGGCATTTTTGAAAAAGAGTATTGAAAAAGGGGCATTTTTGTGAGTCTCCAATTTTACTTTGCTGATTTTCTTTTTTAGTTTCTTTTTTTTTAAAAACCAACCGCAACTGTAAACATTTGCGGAAATGTGCTTTTGAAATCCAGCTATTTTGAGTGGTCTGAAGCGCTATGGAACAATTTTTACGATTGGTACCAACCGCAACCGACCATTAACAACTGCTAGGCGGGTGATAACGGGAGAGGGAGAACCAGTCAATAGTTTTTTGGTTTTAAGTTTTTTAGTTTTTAATTTTTGGTGTAGTATTTAGTTTATGCAAAATCTTGAATTGGTTAACTGGTTTAATTTTTGGTTTTTATTTAAAATTTTTGTATAAAAGTTTTTTTTAAAAAAATTTTAGTTATCGCTTTGTTTTTAAAATTTATTAAAAAATTATAATTTATAATACAAAAAATTTAAAAAAATTAAAAAAATTTCAAAAGCTCGAAATAAGTGTCTCATATTTTTTTTTGGAGAAACCCAGAAAATTTGGTTTTTGGATTATGTGTACAAAATATGTTAAAAAAAAAGATTATGTGTACATATTGCAAAAAATCTATTAAAATTCAGATTCCTTATTTGTTAGGAAAACCATTTGTATCATAATCGTATATGGGCATAAATTAGTTTTTGTAAAATCAAAATCTCAAAACCACTTCAGAATCTGCAGCCATTCAAGGTCATAGAGTTCAAATGAAAAATTATTTTTTGATTAGTTTTGTTTCGGAACTTATAAACTTGTCAGACAAAAGAAAAACTTACGAGACTAATGGTATTACTTATCTTTGTAATAAAAAACCAAATTTACAAGAAAAATACATAAAAAGATTGACAATAGAATCAATCCATCTTTTATTTCTCTAAGTCACACATTTTGTTTATTTTTGTGTATACATCTATCGTGTATCCGACGAAGTACACTTGTCGTGTATCCGCCATAATAATGTATTTATGGGATACTACGAAGTATATCTGGCATAATACTGTACTCCATGAGATACATAATGGTGTACTTCAATGTAATAATATATTCTATAGAGTACACGATGGTGTATTTGGCATAATACTATACTCCTTGAGATACACAATGGTGTACTTCGATGCAACAATATATTCTACAGAATACACGATGATGTATTTCGATGTAACATTGTACTTTGCAGAGTACATAATGGTATACCCCAACTTAACATTGAACTCCGTGGAGTACACGTTGGTGTACCCCGACATAAGTATATGTTCGTGTACCCCGACATAAGTATATGATGGTGTACCCTAACTATTACATGATAGTGTATCCGACGTAACCCAAAAGCTACAACCGGGCCACATCAACATTTTTGTTTAATCTTGTAAACAGATTGTATATATCCATATAAATATGTGGTTAAAATTTAACACCGTTAAATGATTTCGTAACGTCTGTTAACGGTTGTTAAGCAACGAATTCGAATCAATCAATAACTCAAAAATAGGTATTGTTTGACCAACCAAAATTATTTAAGACATTTTTACCCCATATACCCTCATATATGTATCATCTCATGTACCTTTTCCTCTGTACCTTATTTATGAACCATTTCATGTATCCCATATATGTACCATTTCATGTATTCTTTCCTCTATATCCCGTATATGAACCATTTCATGTACTTCTTCATCCGTACCCCAGGTATATACCATCTTATGTATCATATATATGTACCTAGGCCTGGGCAAAAAATCCGGATCCGATACCCGAACCGATACCTGGACCGAAAAATCGGGTTGGAGCGGGTTAGGGTATTAGAAAATTACCTCATTGGGTAGAGTATTAGATTACCCATGGGTATCGGGTCGGGTCGGGGATTACCCGTTACCCATTTAGGGTACCCACAAAC